AGGCGTCACACGCCTAAAGCGTTTGTATTACACACAATTTGAACAAAAATGTCACATAGGCAGGTTAAAAAGGTATTTAAAATGTTGTGTTTTAATAGATTCAAGGGTTTAGTTGGTAAAGTGGTGAGTAGAAGATCCAACTGACAAACAGAGCCAAGTACAAGGGTCTCCCAAGTCATTCCGCCTTTAAATTTTGAGCATTCTTCAAAGTGAGATATTAATAACAAAAATTACATTTGAAATATCTTTTTGTGTGTGTGAGAGAGAGAGAGATGAGACGTGTTGGAGCAAGACCTATCTCCCAAAATGAAATTCAATCATAAATTCAGATATTAGAGCATAAGGAAGAAAAATAAAAACCAACGAGAAAAAAGAATGACAGGAGATGAAGCAAGCATTTTTGGTAGAGGGTTAGAGCAAATGCCCATTCCTCTCACAAAAGTAGGTTGTACAAAGCACTCTGGTATCGTAACACAAGTAATAATCAGATCAGATCAGAATTAGCAGATACCAGTCTCTCAAGATCAGCCACAATTTAAGTGATCAAATATACGGTGCTAGACAGGTTTTACAACAAATAAAGTATCTGAATAGCATCTGTTGCAACAATAGTCATAGACTAATAGTTCAAGGGCATTCGCTTGTTTTAGCATCATCAGAACTCATGGTCAGACCAGGATATAAAAAACATTTTGTGCAGCACGAAACCTCATTTTCTTGCAACTAGCCCGCTTTACTACTAAGATAAGGACCTTCCCTCACATGTTTGAAGCCATACCTCCTAAGTTCATCAGCAATTTAAAGCGCGCCTATGATATTTGAATACTACTGTAAGAATGTGGGTCACATGGTGCCACTGCTATTGACCTCATCTGATTGCTTTGGAGAGTACTTCTCCATCAGCTTAGACAGTTCAAGGTCGAATTTCCTCTCAAGTTCAACCTCCTCTTCCCAGTATTTGCGTCTCAATGCAGCTATCCTATCGTCATGAGTTCGCATCAGATTCTCCCTCTCTTCCACAAACTCCTCCATTTCCTTGTCCTGGAGTTTGATAAATTTGGCAACTTTGTCTGCCCTGAAATGCAAATGACAAATAAAATATAAGGAAAATCTGGATCATTAGAAAATTATCAAAACATCAATTTTATTGATAAAATATCTCAGGAAGCGTAATATAAGGTTTGAGATTTCCCTTGCAACACACATAGAGAGATCACAACTATAATAAAGCTGAAGTGGTGTCTAGATTGAGAATCAGCTGGCTTTTGTTCTGGTATTAGGAGAAAATACTTTAGTTTTGATTTTTCGCAAAACAAACGTGAATGTTTGGATTTGGGAGATCTTTGGGTTTTTCTTCTTGAAAAATTAACACTCAAACCCTACAGCAATATTTATAAGGGTAAATTATTTCTTATCAGGTAAAGTGGCAGCTTTCATAAGGGTAAAATGATAGATGAAAACCAACTAGGAACCAAAGGCAGTATTTTTGAATAACAAAAGAATTTATTCTGAAGAAAAATAAAAAGAACTCAGGGAATTCCTAGATGAAAAATCTAGACACAAAATTGTAATTGCCAAGTTAAAATAGGGGCCAAAAAAGAATACTTTTGTTCTGGGCCCCTAGCGGAGCCACTAATTTTCATGCAGAAATGGATCATAACGAAATTTCTTCCAACAGAGCAGGGGATAGAACAAGAATTAATTTCTCTGATTCAGTTCCAGATTTAACAAAGCAAAGGCAAAATACCTACCAAACTACAGGTACCTAAATGAAGCCTTTAAAAGAATGTTTTACCTGACCCGATGATCCTCAACCGAGGAAGTATTTGCATTAGATTGTTTAACCATCTCACGCTGTTCCTGCTGTGTCTTTTCAAAATTGTCCTCCCTGGCAGTCCTGGCATCGTGAATTATTTTGATCTGATCCTTGAAGAACTGTTCTTGAAACTCCATCTACAGAAAGTATAACCACATGAATCGGATTGCATGTAGAGAGGAGGACAACATTCTAAAAACACAAGGAAAGAGTTGAGGGATGATTTCTCCAGAAAAAAGAATAGAAAACACCAATGACATGAAAAAAAAAATCCAAATGCAGAGGGCAAAGAAAAGTTCAATGATTGACTTCTATGAATAATTGAATGTCAAAGCAAGACAAAGTTGTCCCAGTGTCAATCGTAAGCAATTTTAGAACGTAATATGTTCAACATGCAGCTACTAAGAGACACATGACACGGTTTAGTCACACCACTAAACAGAATTTAATATCAGACATTGCAATTAGGAGTTAATAATCAAAGAATATATCATCTAAATACATGAAGCTGTCAGTTACTGCAGTTTTAACCTATGCTGCTTGGATTCTACAAAAAGAACTGCCGCACCCGTGTCAGATCCTCCAAAAATCCACTACTTCCGGAGGATCTGACATGCATTCGCCAGCATTTGTGGAGAGTCCAAGTAACATTGGCATTAACGTCTCAAGGATTCAAATTTTGATCAAATGGTGCTAGTAGTACCCACATTACTATATCTGTCATTTTCTTACATACCTCTTCCTTGATTTGTTCATGGTGCATCTTTGTTTTCAATCTGACTATCTTGTTCTCTTCCAATGTCTGACGGTGTTTTTCACTCACCAAACTGAGAGACTCTTCAAGAGCTTTAGCCTGCATTTGGTGTTTAGCAGCTTTGTTCTTGAACCATATTAGTTGTTGATTATCTTCCCTCATCTGTTTGGCTGGATTCCAAACAGCTTCTTTGTATGACCGCATCTCAAACTTCAACTTTGATTTCCCTACAAATCACACGTGAAATCAAACTTCAATAGACATATTTGTTAAATACAGGGAAGATCAGTGTTTCACTGAAGTACAACAATTTGTTCAGAGAAAAAAATAATCACAAATACCAGCTGAATGCTGATTAAAGTTATCTATGTCTTTTTTATCTGCCATGTAACCATAGAGCAGACGTTTCCCCCCAGGATAAAAGCGGGCTGAACGACGTTCCCATGCATCTCTATTTCTTCCATTTTCAGAAAAATGCTCACTGAGACGATCAGCCTCAATGTATCCCACTGCAGAGGCCTCAAAAATCAACAAACTCATGCCACGATGGCCTTGTGGACCGTATGAATGTCGAGCCTTGACAGCAGCATAAGAGCTAAAATACTCAAGCAGCTCCTGATTCCCCATTCCAATCCACTGTGAAACACAGCACAGAGAGAGAGAGAAAGAGAGGGAGAGAGGTAGGGGGAGTGGGAGAGAGGTATTAGACAGCCATCCAATAAAGTGGTAAATAAAAGTAAATCAAACAAACAGAAGACAAATAATCACTCTACCTTATCGTTTTCATCTTTATCAAGCCTTGTGTTCATGATAATCACCATTGGTGGCCACACAATTTCTTTATCTTTAAATTCCATGCCACCCCATCTTCCATACACTTCACCTGGAGGTACAACAGAAGTACCTCTCTGACGAAGCTCTTCCTCCAAAAGTTCAGCAAGTTCTCTGTGTATTTTAACCCTTAATCCTTTCGTTTTTGCATGGGTCATCAATGATTGCAACCCTGTAAACCATTCAATTGCGCCTGGACCACCTTTGCATGCAGGGCAGTGCCACTGTCGTTCAGGATCATTGATCTCAGTAACAGTCAAACTGTCAAGAGAGTCAAAAAGTTGATTGAACCAAGGATTTTTCTTGCGTGTCTCATAACTCATTTCACCCACATCTGAATCAAAGTCATCACTGTGAAGGTCATCATCACTTTCATCAAGAAAATCCAATTCATTATCCTCAGCATCATGTTCACTGGCCTTATCATCATCATCAGCAACCGGGGAATTATCCTTGGGATGAGCTGAGGCAACTCTAGCAGACCAATCCCAACCATTCTTCAGAGCAGGAGGAACTGGAGCAGATGATGGGAAACCTCCATCATATAGATGCGGCCTTGCAAGTTTTTGAGGATCACTAGGTGTAGACCAGTTATTTCCAGAACCCCGCCCTGATCCAGCATTGTTACGCGTTCCCGATTTCTTACCAACATCTGGATGACCCCAAGCTTTAGTATTCTGGTTTCCCCAAGCTTTTGGACTAGGATTCTGAGGAGCCCATTGCTTCCCAGCACTGCTTCCACCCTTGTTCTTGGGCTTCCTAGCATACACTTCCCATCCTTCATTCTGTTCAGAGTTCAAACCAATATCTCCAACACCTCGATTTATCTCCTCAACTGTTGGTGTAGAGGAAGCTTTCTGCTTTTCTGATGAATTTGAAGGCTTCCCAACCCATTTGCTGGAACTCATCTTTGGATGAAGCTGTTAGCTGGAGACAAAAACATATACTCATGAATCAACTTTCAATCACTGCCAAAAATAAATCATAGGTAGCGCAACGTTTCACCAACATAACATGCATGGCTGATAATTAGAACAAATAGGAAAAACATCCAAAATATACACTTGTCACATGTTATTATATATATATATAGAAATTCAAATTTCACCTAAAGCATTTCCAGTACACATAGATACCAGCCAGTATAAATTAAACTGTAAATAGACAGCAGAGATTAAACTGCAAATCTGAAAAAGTAACACTCAGCAAAAAGAACAAACAGGAACACAAACAAGGGAAATAAATGATGGAACAAGAAAAGGCAGGTACACTTTGAGAGCATGAACCCCAAAACCTAATGTGTAACACAGATATTAGAAAGAAAATGACGAGAGACAAACCACAAAACATAATGTGCACTAGGCCTGCACCACATAAATTAAAATGAGTTCCCTACTCTTCTTCTTATGCTCCAATCATGGGAATAACTAAGAGATACTACCAGCATTTGTACATGAATTGATCTCAAGATTTGTTCCCCGAGATTTATTTTCATGTATTAAAAGATGAGTAGGCCAACTGAATCAAGTAAATTTGTAACCTAGATAGATTAGTGTCAACTCTAGGAACAGAGCACACACAAAAAGGGAACTTTTAATCATGAGACACAATGTTGATGTAGATAATGGTGAAGCAGTAACGAAGAAGAAGACAGAGGTCTGCTAGGCGTGTTTCTTGTCCGAAAAGGCTTCTGGAAGATTAGTCATATATAATTTTGTATTCCTTGTAATTATCTTTTAATTTGTTAGATAAAGTAGGACACGTTAGTTTGTTAGATAAAGTAGGACATGTTTCATAGTTGGTCAATCATGTTCTCCATTATCTTTTCACAGTTTGTTATTCACGTATTCCATGAGTTGTATTTATACACACCTTTACAGTGATGTCAAATACACAGAAAAGTGAATTTTCTCTCAATCCATTTCTTGCTATTTTTTCATGGCATCCGAGCAGGTTAGAATCTGCCTAAAATCCTTAATTCGTTCTCTTTTCTTCATCTTCTCTGCAGTGGCACCCACGTCTTCTACTTCCAATCCAATTATTGAAAGCACTCCAGCTACTCTTTCTGCTGGAAATAATGTCATCGATCCAACTCATCTCTACTATATTCATCCCTTTGATTATCCAGGGGTGAATCTCGTTTCCACAGTGTTTGATGGGAAAAGCTACAGTGGATGGAGAAGGGCAGTTATAATTGCGCTCTCTGCCAAAAACAAACTTGGCTTTACTGATGGCTCACAGGCGATTCCAATTGCAGATTTGGCTCACCAAAAGGCATGGTCACGCTGCAATGACATGGTTCTCTTGTGGCTTCTCAACTCTTTATCTAAAGAGATAGCTGAATCGGTGTTTTACTCCCAAAGTGCCAAAGAACTCTGGAGCGACTTGGAAAATAGATTTGGTCAAACGAATGGTGCAAAATTGTTCCAGTTTTTGTAACTGAATGCTGTGGTGCAAGGCAACTCTAGTACCTCAGGCTATTTCACTAAAATGAAGAGTCTATGGGATGAACTAGATGCGTTAAACTCTTTTTTTGTTTGTGTTTGTGTGTGCGAGTGAATGAGTCCTTTATTGGTGTTAGAAGCAATATTTTGTTGTCATCCCCTTTACCCTCTATTGGACAGGTTTATTCCTTGGTTATCCAAGATGAAAAGCAACGAGAAATTAATACTTCTCCTGTCTATCTAGGGGACTCTACATCTTTTATCGTAGCAACTCAATCAGGAGGAAATAGAAACTACTATAGTTTCAAACCACCAAAGGGATCTGTTGAATCAAAGAAGAATTCAAGCACATGTGCCTACTGCAAAAAGGCAGGACATAGCATTGACAAATGCTACAGGATTCATGGATTTCCTCCAGATTTCAAGTTCACAAAGCAAAGGAAATTCCAAACCTTGGCTAACAATGCTTACCACGTTGTAGAGGAGGTTGATCAAGGAGGCAATGGGTTTTCAAATGTGAAAACTCTAACTCGGGAGAACATGGGAGAACTTTTGCAATTACTTCAACAATTCAAATTGGGACAGCAAAGTGATAACAATGCCGAAGCTACCACGAGTGCCAATTGTGCTGGTATGAAAAGTCTTTTTCAATTGTTATGCATTTTTGGTTAAAATAGACATCAATTCTTGGATATTGGACAGTGGTGCATCTGAACATATGACTTTTAACAAGCATCTTCTTTCCAATTTTAAGTCATTAGGAAATCCAATCATGGTGACTCTTCCCAATTCTCACAAAGTTAAGGTCACACATTATGGTTCTGTTACTCTTCTGCCAAACTTGATCTTGCATAATGTTCTCTATATTCCATCTTTTAAATTCAATCTTATGTTTGTCCACAAGTTGTGTAAACAACTTAATCAACATGTTCTCTTCACTCCTGATTCTTGCTTTCTACCGGGCCCTTCTGTGAAGGGCCACTGGAGATTGGTGAAGAAAAAGGTGGATTCTACATTCTAAAATCAAAGTCTAAAGCTGCAGCTTCCGGAGATAGTTTTATTTCTAGTCAAGTTTTAATTCCAAGAAGGCACATCTTGTTCCTATTTTAAATGCTAGTTTCAATATTCCTGTTTCAGATGTAAAAGAGAAGCTATGGCATTATAGACTCGGTCATATGCCCTTAATCAATATGAGAAAAGTTCGGTCTATTCCAGTATCTCATTGTTCAAATTTTCTATCTCCGTGTATTATTTGTCCAATGGCTAGACCGTCCAAACTCCCTTTTCCTTCTAGTTCTATTTCTACAAAATCTGCTTTTGAATTAATTCATGTAGATACTTGGGGACCCTACAACAATCCTACTCATGACAATTTCAGATATTTTCTCACTATAGTAGATGATTTTAGTAAAGGAACATGGACTTTCTTACTATCTTCCAAATCAAATGCTTTTACAGTACTTAAATCTTTTCTAATCATGATAGAGAGGCAATTTCGCACTACAGTCAAGAAAATAAGATCAGATAATGCTTTTGAATTGGGAACGGGAAAACTACAATCAGAGTTTTTGTCATCTCAAGGCATCATTCACCAAACAACTTGTGTTTCCACTCCACAACAAAATGGAGTTGTGGAAAGGAAACAGAAGCATCTATTAGAAACGTCTAGAGCGCTTCTTTTTCAATCGCATTTACCTATTAAGTTTTGGGGTGATTGTCTTTTAACAACCTATTTGATTAATAGGTTTCCTTCCAAAGTTCCCAAATACAAAACATCTTATGAGATTCTTTTTAAGTCTAAACCATATTATCAGAGTCTTAAATGTTTTGGTTGTTTGTGTTTCGCTTCCACTCTTTCGGTTCATAGGGCAAAGTTTGAACCTAGAGTTGTGTCATGTGTGTTTTTGGGATATCCTCGTGGAATGAATGGTTTTAAGTTAATCTTCAAACCAAGAAAATTTTTGTTTCAAAACATGTGATATTTCATGAAAACATATTTCCTTTTGCCTCTACTAAAGTTGGTGAATGTACCGAATCCTTTCTACCTAAGGATCATATTGTTGGTCCTAAGGATCCTTTGCCTACTTTAGTCCCTCATAATTTGTCCATAGAGGACAATTCTATTCCTATTTTGCCTATCACTAAGTTTGCTTTTCCTGATGATCATCACCCTGGTGTCTTTGAATCTCCATCTTCTCCTATTATTCCTGCTAACATTCCCCCACCTTCAGTTTCTCCTATGGTTGTAGATAATATTCTAAGAAAATCTTCTAGGTCTCATAAAACACCTAGTTATCTAAAGGATTATATCTGCAACGCTTTGCAACTCACCAATGTCACCAGTTCCTAATTTCTTTCCTCTGTTACTCCTTCTCAATTTTCTTTTTCCAATCCACAAATCAAGCATTCATAAATTCCCTCTCAAACCTCCAAGAACCTACCAGGTACACCCAAGCTATGATGCACCCAGGTTGGCAAAATGCCATGGCTAATGAAATTATAGCGCTTGAACTAAACAAAACTTGGGAGGTTGTGGAGTTACCTCATGGGAGAAGGCATTACCCTGTAAATGGGTGTATAAAATCAAACAACATTCAGATGGAAGCGTGGAAATACTCAAAGCTCGATTGGTAATTAGAGGCGATATACAAAGAGAGGAAATAGATTTCAATGAAACATTTCACTCGTGGTTAAAATGACTACAATTAGGTGTATCTTGTCTATAGCAGTCAAGAAGAATTGGAATTAGGGATTATTTCAACTGGATGTGGATATGCATGTTTACATGGAGATTTAGATGAGAAGGTGTACATGAAATTTCCAGTCGGACTTACTCCTCCTTCCTCAAATCATGTTTGTAGGCTGAAAAAATCCCTTTACGGGCTTCGACAGGCATCTCGGCAATGGTATGCCAAATTGACTTCTGCCTTACATTTCAAAGGTTTTACTCATTCGTTAAATGGCTATTGCTTGTTCTTTAAGAAAAGAGATTCTTCTATATGTATTGTGGCTATCTATGTAAACGATATCTTGTTAACAGGAAATGAAATCGAAGAGATGAATGGACTTAAAGTTTTCCTGAATCAAGTGTTCAAAATTAAAGACTTGGGAAACTTGCACTATTTCCTTGGTATGGAGGTTCTTCGCGAGCAGCGGGGTCTAATTCTTAGTCAACGCAACTTCACTTTGAATTTGTTGGCAGAATTTGATATTCTCAGCCTTACTCCAGTATCTTCCCCTCTTGATCCCACATCAAAATTGATTGCTAATTCGGGTGATCCAATCAATATCGCCATCTACTCGGAAAGTTAGATTATCTCACACATACTCGCCCAGATCTTGCCTTTACAATACAACATTAGAGACAATATATGCAAGATCCAAGGGCCCCTCATTTGAATGTTGCTCTTCGTGTCTTTCGCTACTTGTTGAAGGACCCTGGTTTGGGATTATTCATGTCTTCATCACCATCCTTTGAGTTGATAGCTTTCTGTGATTCGGATTGGGGGACTTGCCCCAATTCTCGAAAGTCAGTAAATGGATTTTGCATGGCTCTTGGTGCTTCTCCTATCTCCTAGAAGTCAAAGAAGCAAACTTCTATCTCCCTCAGCTCTGCTAAAATTGAGTATAGGTCCATGAGGAGAGTTGTTGCCGAGTTGACTTGGTTGGTGCGATTATCCATTGATCTTTCAATTCCTATAGCTTTGTCGGTTCCTCTTCACTCGCATAGCAAAGTTGCGATACATATTGCCGAGAATCCCTTTTTTCATGAGCGAACCAAGCATGTGGAGCTTGATTGCCATTTCGTCCGAAAACAATTTCTTGTTGTTTTCATTTCACTCTCATTCACTCCATCTTCGTCTCAATTAGCCGATTTATTCACCAAGCCCTTAACAAGGCCTCTTCACCGTAACCTTTTGGGCAAGTTGGGTGTGTTTTCCTCTCCCTCCAACTTGAGGGGGGGGGGGTGTTGGTGTAGATAATGGTGAAGCAGTAACGAAGAAGAAGATAGAGGTCTACTAGGTGTGTTTCTTCTCCGAAAAGGCTTTTGGAAGATAAGTCATATATATTTTTTAATTCCTTGTAATTATCTTTTAGTTTGTTAGATAAGTAGGACACGTTAGTTTGTTAGATAAAGTAGGACATGTTTCATAGTTGGTCAGTCCTGTTCTCCATTATCTTTTCACAGTTTGTTATTCACGTATTCCGTGAGTTGTATTTATACACATCTTTACAGTGATGTCAAATACACAGAAAAGAGAATTTTCTCTCAATCAATTTCTTGCTATTTTTTCACACAAAGGGATATGAAAACCAAATACAAAACATTGTATGAATCATCACTATCATACACCAATTCAATTAAATCTAAAACAAATAATGAGATATTAGCCACTTATTCCATCCCCATGAACACTAAAACACCAACTGAATCAGTGTTCCTCACAAATTAAATTAACCATCTCCCACAATTCGCTTCCCCAAGAAGTAGTTAGCTAGTTTCTACATATCCGAAATCAAAAAAAGAACCAATATCCAATTTAGTTCCAAAATTGGTCAAAACCCAGAAATATATGCATACATACTTTAGTATTAACAAACTCAAAACCCAGAAATCCATCTCCAGGTTTTTCGCCAGAAAAAAATGTAAAGAATTAAGGGTATCATCTATTAACCAAAAAAAAAAAAACAAGGAAATTGGCAAGTCAGAATCAGGGTCACTTTATGGCACAAAATCCATCAACAACCCCAGTTAAAAAAATCGCACAAAATCAGTAAAAGGGTTTAGGGTTTTGATCGACAAAGAGGTGAGAACAAGGGTCGGCATTAACAACAACAACAACAACATTTACTGACAACTCAAAACCGTGAAATCCATCTTTAGGTTTTTCGCCAGAAAAATGTAAAGACATTAAGGGTATCATCTAATAACCAGAATCAGAAAATCCACTTTATGGCACAAAATGCATACAAAATCAGTAAAAGGGTTTAGGGTTTTGATCGACAAAGAGGACTTACAATTGGGCTTCGCCGGGAAAAATGATCGGCGGTGGTAGAAAGAGTAGAAGCGAAATTCGCCGGAGAAAGAAGAGTGAGCAAGTGTAGAGTTAGCTGGTTTTTGAGTGAGTAAATGGAGAACTAGTTGATGAATTCAAGAATCTGCTACTCACACTGTGATACCTTTATATATATATATATAAAAAAAAAAAAGCAATTGTAGTCTATTTATTATTGTGTAATTTTAATTTATTTATTTATTTGTTATATAACTTTGCACACTTTTCATCATTCACAATGTGTGATGTTGATCTTTACTTCCTCTCTATTTCATATTTACTAAAAGTAGGCGTTTGGTCATGCGATACCCTATCATGATATAAAATTGTAAAATGAAATCAGTGTTTGGATATGTGATACCATATCATGATATAAAATCGTGAGATGGAATCAGCGTTTGGACATACAATTTCACGCTGATTCCATCTCATGAGATGAAATTCTATATTCTCCGAAAATCATGATTTGAGATGTTTTAAATACAAAAAATTGATCCACAAGTTTATATTTTGTTAAAACAACCCCACATTTATATTTACTAACAATTTATTTCATATGTAAATAAAATTTATAATCACATCATTACTTTTTAAAATTTATTATTCTCACCAATATAGAATTTATTATTATTTTAAATTTGGTGAATATAAATGATAAAGTGAGAATTGATTTGGTGAATATAAATAAGAACGGAGGGAGTAATATTTTTTTGGTTTTTCAGAATAATAATAAAAAACTTCTCTCTTTTGACCAACATATGATTCAAAGTAACAATGTTGGTTCGTCTTCTCGGTCATATGATCGAGAAATGCAAGTTCAACGTGAGGAGATTATTTGTACTATGTGGGAGGAAACTATTAAAGACTAGTACACTACAATTTATGTTCAATTTATTTTTATAGAATTAAAGTTTGATCAATTAAAGTTAGATGAAACAATTACTTAAGTGGAGAACAAATAACTTTGTAATAATTTACTTTGCATTTTTATAATATTTTGTTTATTTGGTAAGATTGAATAAACAATTGGGGTTATTTTAATAGTTTTACAACACAAAAATTTCATATCGCATGTCCAAACAAAACTTCAACTTCATCTCATGATTTCATATTATGATATCATATCATGATTCCATATCGCATGACCAAACGGGCCCTAAAAATTTTGTGACTTTTTTAAAGTTCAAAATCATTGAATTGTTCAAAATTCAGAATTGATGTTTGGAAACTTTTCCATATTACTCTTTCCAAGTTTGATATTTTCTACGAGATAAATTACACTACTTGAATGGTTATATTTATGATTTCATAAAGGACAATAGTAGAAAGTATGATCTAAATTATGTCTTTAAAATGGTTTTCTTAATATGCGTACATTGTTTCACAAATTCAGTTAATATGAAATAAAGGGAATATAAGTTAATGAAATTATTATTTAAAATATTCAAATATTTAAAAAAAAATTAAAGGTGAAAGCTTTTAATCACAGAAAATTGCTATGACATTATTGATAGATTTAAGGAGCTCGTCCATCAACTAAACCTTTTTACAAATGTAATTGTATTTGAACTTGATTAGTAACTATTGAAAAGTAGGAAAGCTCAAGTTACAAATGAACCAAGAACATATCAAAATGGAGAAAAATGGGACCAATTTATATTTTAAAAATAATTATTTTAATTGTACATATGTTTTAAATATATAATTATAATTTGGATTTTATATGCATAATTTTCGAGCCTTTAGAAAACACTAACCCTTCATTTTATTTTATTTGTATATATTTAAAATAATCATATGTTAAACAGTTAACTTTTGTTAACTTTAAGGATCGATCACATACTTCAAATAATTGAAGATTTATCCATAGTCAAGTAACACAAAGACTAAATTGAAATCATGGATAATACAGGGATTAAAATTGTTATTTTCTCCAAATTTCTACTCTCTCTAGTCTCTAGTTGGTCAAACCTACTTTTAAGTCAGTTTTTGATTTCTGAAAGTATTTGGCAAATATAAAAATAACTTAAAATAAGTTTGGAAGTGTTTGACAAGGTTAAAACTAACTTAAAATAAGTTTAAAATGACTTAAAATAAGTTAAAAACCACAAGTAGGTTTCCTCTTACTTTTTATTTTTTGACTTAAAAGTCATTTAAGTTTAACTTTTTATTTTTGACTTAAAAACTACTTTTTAAAACCAATTCAAACGGGCTCTTAGGTAATTGTCAATTTTTTTTTCATAACTCTAAATAAGTGAATCTTTTGAAGTCCAAGAGGATTGTTAGGACTTTT